GCTCCCAGTAGAGTGGGCTGGCAGTCGGGTTAGGTGATATTCAGTAAGATTTGTGCTGACAGATGGGATAGCAGAACCACGTGTCGAGAGATCACTGGAGTAGATTTGGGGTACAGAAGATATATAAGCAAGTCTATACCCCCCATGCTGGGGAGACGAACATTTGGTAAGAGAAATACTTACACTCCATTCACTCCTCGTTCTCTCTATCCTCAGGTGTGTGCTAACTCGATCATCGGAGGGATTTTCCAGCCACACACCACCGGGTAGCTCACCGCTGTTGTACACGTAGGTGATCGGATAGAAACAGAGCTCGGAAGCAAGGAGTGCGGGCTCGCCTGGATATTTGCTCCCCGTACAATTGGCGCCGTGGATCTCAGTTCTTGGAGCAATTGGGCATGGAACACAGCATGGCTGTCGACAGCCGAGAAGATTCAGCCCGGCTGCCGAGCTCCCAGTAGAGTGGGCTGGCAGTCGGGTTAGGTGATATTCAGCAAGATTTGTGCTGACAGATGGGATAGCAGAACCACGTGTCGAGAGATCACTGGAGTAGATTTGGGGTACAGAAGATATATAAGCAAGTCTATACCCCCCATGCTGGGGAGACGAACATTTGGTAAGAGAAATACTTACACTCCATTCACTCCTCGTTCTCTCTATCCTCAGGTGTGTGCTAACTCGATCATCGGAGGGATTTTCCAGCCACACACCACCGGGTAGCTCACCGCTGTTGTACACGTAGGTGATCGGATAGAAACAGAGCTCGGAAGCAAGGAGTGCGGGCTCGCCTGGATATTTGCTCCCCGTACAATTGGCGCCGTCTGTGGGAAGCTTGCAGACAAAACCTTGTCTTCCAGGCTCATTTGATCACCGTCCATGGTGAACAACGAAGAGATTCCGCTGTCCGCCGTCGACGGAGTTACCCCGGAGTCGGGCAGACGGAGAGAAGGGCATCCTACCATCGTTCCTCCGATGGCGGACCTGGAGACTTCTCCAGGAGGACATTCAAGAGATGCGCGGGATAAGCGTGGAAGAAGTTAAGGTCATTCACGGAGTCCAGACGGTCATCGGCGGCGGAGAGAATCACATGCCAGACGTCTGGAACACAAGTTAAGGGACCAGGACGCCGTCATCCTGTGAATGGCGGCGGAGATGGAGGAGCTGAAGCGTCATGTTAAAGGGAAGGGTGTAGCTGGAGTGGGCGACCACAGTGAGCGCACCCAACCACGCCGTTCAAGCAGTCAGAGCCAGCGGCGTACACCGTCCATCTTAATCACCAGAAGTTACAAGGTTGGAGATTCCAACCCGCACGAAGAGAAATCCAGTGCGCAAGATAGTACCTACCGACCCTCACGTCCGGCGACGACATCGAGGTATTTTTATTCTGCCCATTCAGAGGATTTGCGGGCAGTTTTGAAGGAACGGGCTTGCCGAAGGGAGGCTCAAAGAGTGCCGGCGTTCCAGCGGCTATCCTATGGGGTTCACGCCAGCGAGGAAATCGGAATGCCTCTACCCCGCCCAGCCGCGCCTCTCCTTGTAGATATAGACTTGGCAAGGCTGAGTGCCACTCCATTCTCCGTGGATATTGAGACCGCACTGCTTCCGACGGGCTTCCACCAGCCAAAGTTCACGCTCTATGAGGGAAAAACCGACCCGTATATGCATGTAAGTCATTTCCAACAGGTCATGGCCGGACATAGGCGGAATGACGCTCTTATGTGCTTGATCTTCCCGTCGAGTTTGGGCGAGCTAAGTTTGAAATGGTTCGAGAGACTGCTGGAGGGGAGCATTGAAAGGTGGCAACAGTTGGCCGAAGCCTTTGTGACACACTTCAAAACCAACACCAAAACACCAAAGGAAGTTAATCACCTCCTGAGTGTCAAGATGGAACTGAGCGACACATTGAAGGCATACAACTCCAGATATTGGGAGACCTTCAACAAGATTTTGGATTGCCCGACCAACCTTGCAATCACACAATACAAGCGAGGTCTTCCGGTCGGACATAGACTGCGGGACTCGTTTACTATACACCAGCCGACATCCATGGGCCAGCTAATGCAGCACATCAATGAGCACATCCGAGTGAAGGATGATGCATCAGCATCTACCATGAAGGCAACTCCGGTTGCAACTGACAAGCGGTCAGCTGGCAAAGTGCACGCGGTCGGGTAGGAGTCCGACCGATCCAGCGATCGCGCTGAGGAATCGGACCGTGGCGCTAATCGCAAGAACCGTGATAGGGGACGTCGGAATGACCGGGATGACTACCCCTGGGATGACGTAGCCGATGCTAACAGAAGGTGGAAAGCAAGGACAGGCATCACCACAGTCTTTAAGATTCCAATATATCGCATACTTTGTAAAATCCGTGACGAGGAGTATGTCCGGTTTCCTGCTAAGTTAGGCAACGGACAGAAATGCTTCAATTCGCGGTACCGTTGCATGTTTCACCGGGAACGAGGCCATCGGACAGAGGATTGTTTGCCCTTGAGGCAACACTTGGAAGAGGTAGTCGCAGCCGGACACTTGGACCTTTACATTGATGGCGATGTGAAGGCCAATCAAGCTCCGATTGATCCGCGGGGACCGAATGACTGAGATGCGCCTCCCCAAGGGGTTATTAATGTCATCCACGGCATAATGGAACCGGCGCGTGTATGCGAGCTCCGAGGAATGATCAAGAAGGCAGAACACATGGGGGAAGTTTTATTGGTTCAGCCTGCAATCAAGAGGGGGAAGACCGAAGAGAAATACGTGATCAGTTTCTCCTCAAGAGACCTAGAGCGCATTCAGACGCCACACAACGATGCCCTAGTAGTAACACTCCGCGTCAAAGAATTCGATGTCAAACGGATCTTGATCGATTAGGGAAGCTCGATCGAGATCATGTACTACGACGCTTTCAAACAGCTCAAGCTCCGGGATACAGATTTGGCCCCGGCAACTTCGCCACTGGTTGGTTTCAACTCACAACCGGAGTGGCCTTTAGGAAAGATTATCCTGCCGGTCAAAGCGGGATCCGTTGTCAAACAAGTGGAGTTCTGGGTGTTGCAAGTGCCATTCACTTATAATTTGATCCTTGGAAGGGGATGGCTTCATGCTATGCAAGTCATAGCGTCTACCTATCACCAGGTGATGAGATTTCCCTCGGTTATGGGGGCAATCGAGGAGATTTGGGGCGATCAAGTCATGTCGAATCAATGCTTTGTGGCGGTCAACGGGAGCCGAACTGCCAAAGGCTTCGTTCAAATGATTAAGGGACCGGGAGACCGGGGAGTCCTTGACGATGTGGGCACCAAGGCCGAGGACAAAGCTGTCGAGGAATTGGTGGAAGTGCACATCGATACAGAGCATCCGGACAGGTTCTTCTTGCTCGGCTCAAGCCTTACAGCCTAAGAAAGGACCGACATGGTTGAATTTTTTATGGCCAATATCGAAGTCTTCGCATGGTCACCTTACGACATGCCCGGTCTCGATCCAAGTTTTATATGCCATGATCTCAATGTCTTTCCCGGAGCAAAGCCGGTCATTCAGCACACAAGGAGATCGGCGCTGCATCACGCCGAGGTAGTTGCGGAGGAAGTGAAGAACTTGCTTGAGGCGCGAGCAATTCAGGAAGTGCACTACCCTCGGTGGATTTCAAACACGGTCGTGGTGCCCAAGAAGAATGGGAAGTGGCGAGTTTGCGTTGACTACAAGACCGTCAACCGAGCTTGTCCGAAAGACAGCTTCCTTCTGCCTAGAATAGACCAGCTTGTGGACTTAACGGCTGGACATAAAAGGCTCAGTTTCTTAGACGTCTACCGCGGCTACCATCAGATTTCCATGCATGGGCCCGACCGAGAGATCACCTCGTTTACTACACCAAGTGGACTCTTCTACTACCGAATCATGCCTTTTGGTTTGAAGAACGCCGGGGCAACTTTTCAAAGGATGGTGACCAAGATGTTCGCTCCTCTGTTAGGCCGGACAATGGAGGCTTATATTAATGATATGATGGTGAAGAGATGGCATCAAGCAGACCATTTGTCCGATTTGGCTGAGATGTTCGCCATTCTCAAAAAGCATAAGCTACGCCTGAATGCGTCTAAGTGTGCCTTCGGCATGAGATTCGAATTTTTTTTGGATTTTCTAGTCACAAACCGAGGTATCGAAGCAGACCCTACACAAATTCGAGCCGTGCAAGAGTTAAAACAGCCTAGCTCGGCTAAGGATGTGTAGCATCTGGCTGGAATGGCCGCCGCGCTTAACTGATTTATAAGCCGGTCATCAGATCGCCACCTCCCTTTTTTTCAAGCCTTGAAATCAAAGTTCTCATGGGATGAAGAGTGTGACCGGGCTTTGGCCGAGCTCAAGGAGTATTTGTCCTTAGGGCCGTTGTTGGTCACACCGCAGCCCGGAGAAGAACTTTACCTTTATCTGGCCGTATCGCAGTATGTAGTCAGTGCAGTGCTTGTTCGGTTGGAAGGAATCAAACATCTACTCATCTTCTATGTCAGCAAAACCTTGCTACCGGCAGAGTCGAGGTACTTGCCACTGGAAAAACTTGCGTTAGCGTTGATGATGGCTTCAAGGAAGTTGGCACACTATTTCCATGCCCATACCATCATCATCTTGACCGAGTTCCCTCTCAAAGCTTTGTTCGAACGGGCAGACTTCTCCGGTCGTATTCTCAAGTGGGCGGTCGAATTGGGACAGTTTGATGTGAAGTTCCAGCCACGCACAGCCATAAAAGCCTAGACTCTGGCTGACTTCGTTGCTGAATTCTCACCTGGAACTCATCCGGTATGCCCGGTCGATATTGTCGTGGTAGATAAAGAGGTGAATGCAAGCTCGACCGAAATACCACAGCTTGGCGGCATTGGCGACGTGGAACTTGCGCGCCCTGCCGAGGCCCCTTCAGTTAATACGATACTACAGCCCGGTGATGCGACGATGGAGTTAGCTATCACTGACCAGATCTTGATCGATCAGGGAAGCTCGGTCGAGATCGACACTTACTCGGGAAGTCTCTCATAAGCAGTCAACACATTCCATACTTCACGAACAGGAGCTTTTACTGTTATGCTGGCAACAACGCAGCGATGCACGCCTCCGTTTTCCTTCACCCGAAAACTATTTTATCAGCAAAACCGCTATAACAAATGTGCCTTTCCATCAGAAAGAAAGGCCTAGTGAGATGAGTGTAGAGTCAATCAGTTACCAATAGGCCATCAAATCTACGGAGATGAACTTCATCCACCATGCAAGGCCCATCAATTTTGCAAGCTTTCCAAAAAACTCCCCATTTACTGCTCAAGTCACTAGAAGATGTGGACAAACGACCAAAAGAACTGGCATAATTCTCTTTCAACTCTCCAGGAGAAAGTTTATCTTTCTCTGATAAAGCACCATCAATGTCTATGCCAGGGGAAATAGGGAAAGCCATAGATGTTGTACCCAAAATACTTTCCGTGATTAGTGCATTCTGATTCCCTTCGAAATTCCTCTCAGCTCTACAAGCCAAGGCTTGAAGATTCACAGGAAGATCTGATCTGATAATCCTCTCCAAGAATATGGCTGGGAAGTTGAACCTTGGTATCACATTAACTTCATATGACAAAATTGTTGTTATGGACCTGTGAAACAAAATAACCAATAGAGATTAGGAAAGTCCTGCAATAAGTGATTTTATTCATGCGTCAATATTCATGAAGAAGGGAGATGAAATGATTGTTCAGCTAGATGAACAATCAAGGTCCTCTCTTTCCTCACTTGACCTAATAGAAACCTTTGTTTATAAAGCAAGGTTCTTGTTTGAGCATAACTAGAGTCGTTAAGGTAGGAAATGAGATAAGGACACAAGATCCCTAACCAGGACCATTCAGAAAAGCAAGATTTAGAGGTTTTGAACAATGTTGTCACTACTAGGAGTATAGTGGATATTACCTTTTTCCAGATTTCAGACACCACTTGCCTTCAAATTTCTTAAAGTCACCATCAACCATGGAAAAGTGGAGTTCACGACTGTTAGCCTACACTAAGAAAAAGTTTAGAGTTACAATCTTGGACAAGACTATGAGATTTGAGAATTAAAATTTTAAATATCATGTTGTAAGATCTCAACTTTGAAGATACTGAAATTACAAAAGCAGTTGGGTAGAAACAAAACAATCAAATGGCCACCAAGAATGATAAACCGTGTTTAATATCATACGGGGATGACCAAAAAATTGAACTAAATAAGAAAATTATACAAATTTAAATGGAGTTCACCACATCTTTACATAAACAGCTATTAGGTCAATATATATACAGTACAAAGAGAGCCACAAGTATGACAAGAAAAAAGGGAAACCTCTTTCATGCAGAACCGCATCTTGTATGTGGAGATGCAAACATCCAAAAATGCAAAGTAACATAATGCAAATGGTGAAACAAATGCAGACAAAGAAAAGTTAACTCAAGACCTCCTCTGACCCTGAGCTTTAAATACCGTGCTAGAGCACCACTTGTCCCAAAATCTTAAGCTATTAGAAAAGGGGCCACCAGTTGTAATATTGCGTCAATGCATTCATCCCATGATGACTATCCCTCTTCATTATGATAATGAAATAGCTACTTTGTCCACCAACAATCCTATGTTTCAAAGTAGACCAAGCATACACAGTTGGTTGTCTCATTGATTTTTGCTCGAGGTGCTTTCATACACCATCCTCTGCCCAGACTTAGCTGACTTGTTCACAAATTTTTGTTGCATGCTTGACTTGATTTATAATTTGATTTGGCATCATTTTATAACATGATTTTAGGGCTCATGTTGCATGCTAATTTGTCCATGATTCCCCCTTTCAAGTGTGCTTGAATGTTGTTTGATTTGTGCTTAAGTGTTGGTCCTTATGTGCATGTGTGTGTGCATGCCATTTAGCCTTCATTTCTTAGCATTTTGGCCACTGTTTTGGGCCTAGCTAGAGCTGGACCGGGGAGTCCTTGACGATGTGGGCACCAAGGCCGAGGACAAAGCTGTCGAGGAATTGGTGGAAGTGCGCATCGATACAGAGCATCCGGACAGGTTCTTCTTGCTCGGCTCAAGCCTTACAGCCTAAGAAAGGACCGACATGGTTGAATTTTTGATGGCCAATATCAAAGTCTTCGCATGGTCACCTTACGACATGCCCGGTCTCGATCCGAGTTTTATATGCCATCATCTTAATGTCTTCCTGGGAGCAAAACCGGTCATTTAGCACACAAGGAGATCGGCGCTACATCACGCCGAGGTAGTTGCAGAGGAAGTGAAGAACTTGCTTGAGGCGCGAGCAATTCAAGAAGTGCACTACCCTCGGTGGATTTCAAAGATGGTTGTGGTGCCCAAGAAGAATGGGAAGTGGCGAGTTTGCGTTGACTACAAGACCGTCAACCGAGCTTATCCGAAAGACAGCTTCCCTTTGCCTAGAATAGACCAGCTTGTGGACTTAATGGCTGGACATAATAGGCTCAGTTTCTTAGACGCCTACCGCGGCTACCATCAGATTGCCATGCATGGGCCCGATCGAGAGATCACCTCGTTTACTACACCAAGGGGACTCTTCTACTACCGAATCATGCCTTTTGGTTTGAAGAACGCCGGGCCAACTTTTCAAAGGATGGTGACCAAGATGTTCACTCCTCTGTTAGGCCGGACAATGGAGGCTTATATTGATGATATGATGGTGAAGAGATGGCATCAAGCAGACCATTTGTCTGATTTGGCTGAGATGTTCGCCATTCTCAAAAAGCACAAGCTACGCCTGAATGCGTCTAAGTGTGCCTTCGGCATGGGATCCGAAATTTTTTTGGGTTTTCTAGTCACAAACCGAGGTATCGAAGCAGACCCTACACAAATCCGAGCCGTGCAAGAGTTAAAACAACCTAGCTCGGCTAAGGATGTGTAGCATCTGGCTGGAATGGCAGCCGCGCTTAACCGATTTATAAGCTGGTCATCAGATCACCACCGCCCTTTTTTTCAAGCCTTGAAATCAAAGTTCTCATGGGATGAAGAGTGTGACCGGGCTTTGGCCGAGCTCAAGGAGTATTTGTCCTTAGCGCCGTTGTTGGTCACACCGCAGCCCGGAGAAGAACTTTACCTTTATCTGGCCGTATCGCAGTATGTAGTCAGTGCAGTGCTTGTTCGGTCGGAAGGAATCAAACATCTACTCATCTTCTATGTCAGCAAAACCTTGCTACCGGCAGAGTCGAGGTACTTGCCGCTGGAAAAACTTGCGTTAGCGTTGATGATGGCTTCAAGGAAGTTGGCACACTATTTCCATGCCCATACCATCATCATCTTGACCGAGTTCCCTCTCAAAGCTTTGTTCGAACGGGCAGACTTCTCCGGTCGTATTCTCAAGTGGGCGGTCGAATTGGGACAGTTTGATGTGAAGTTCCAGCCACGCACAGCCATAAAAGCCTAGACTCTGGCTGACTTCGTTGCTGAATTCTCACCTGGAACTCATCCGGTATGCCCGGTCGATATTGTCGTGGTAGATAAAGAGGTGAATGCAAGCTCGACTGAAATACCACAGCTTGGCGGCATTGGCGACGTGGAACTTGCGCGCCCTGCCGAGGCCCCTTCAGTTAATACGATACTACAGCCCTGTGATGCGACGATGGAGTTGGCTATCACTGACCAACCCGCTTTGTCCGACACCACATCACCAAGGAGGGAAGAAATGGAACCGCTCAGCACAGAGCCTGCGGCCGGCATAATACCGCAACCTGGCGATTCGCCTACGGACTTAAGTATTATGGATCAACTTGCTGAGTCCGGCGCCGAATCACCAAGGGGGGCTGAAGTGGAACCGTTCAGCACGGGACTGGAAGCTGAACAGCCGAGCAATCGTGATCCCATCAACCTTCAAGCTTCTCAAGACCCCTCAAAGTGTTGGAAGCTCTTTGTCGGCGAAATGTGGAAACTTTTTGTTGATGGAGCCTCGAACCGTCACGGTGCTGGGCTGGGTATAGTTCTGATTTCGCCAGACGGACTGACTATAGAACATTCTATTACTCTTGGCTTCCCAGCATCCAACAATGAGGCCAAGTACGAGGTGTTATTGGCCGGTCTCAAGAGCGCGCTTCAGATGCAAGCATCCGAACTAATGGTTTACAGTGACTCCCAGCTTGTGGTTAACCAAGTTTTTGGGGTTTACGATGCAAAGGATGACAGAATGATGAAGTACCAAGCTCTAGTCAGAGACCTCATCAAGCGATTTCAGGCGATCAGGGTCCAACAGATTGGCCGAGAAGACAACGACCGAGCAGATGAGTTGGTCGGCCTTGCTTCTATGGTCGACAGCACATCTCCCAACCCTCTTCTTTCCTTCCGAGGCCTAGCATTGAGGAAGCCGGGCAGACAGAAATACTCTGCGCCGAGCTAGGTCCTTCTTGGATGGACCCCATAATCCTCTTTCACAAATAACGAACCCTTCCAGCCGACAAGAAGGAAGCACATAAAGTGCGGGTGAAGTCTGAGCGGTTTTGGCTCTCTCCATCAGGCGCTTTATACAAGAAGTCTTTCACCGGCCCCTACCTGAAGTGTGTGCACCCTAGTAGCGTGGAAGCCTTCCTTTGCGAGATACACGAAGGCATCTGTGGCAGTCACATAGGGGGCAGGTCCTTGGCCTACCGAGCTATTTCGCAAGGCTACTGGTGGCCGTGCATGCAACTCGACGCCCATAAATATGTTCGCAGGTGTGAGAAATGCTAGAAATTTGCCCACCAGATCCATCAGCCGGCCAGGGAACTTCTTTCCCTCACTAGCCCTTGGCCCTTTGCTATGTGGGGGCTAGATATAGTGGGGCTGCTTCCAACGGCACCAGGCAACCGGAAGTTCTTCATCGCGGCCACAGACTACTTCACCAAATGGGTTGAAGCGGAGCCTTTGGCAACAATCAAGGAGAAAGACGTGAAGCGAATTGTCTGGCAGAACGTGGTCACGCGGTTTAGCATCCCCAAAATTCTGATCTCTGATAACGGCACCCAGTTTGACGGTCGGCTATTCAGAGGGTTTTGTGAAGATTTGAAGATCGAATTCTACAACTCTACTCCGGCTTACCCGCAGTCCAATGGTCAAGCCGACGCTTCGAACAAAACCATTTTTGCTGGACTGAAGAAAAGGCTTGAGAAAGCCAAAGGAAAGTAGGCTGAGGAGCTCCCCAGTGTCCTTTGGGCATACCGAATAACCCCGCGGCGATCTACCAGGGAAACTCCTTTTACTTTGGCATATGGCATGGAGGCGGTCATCCCTTTGGAAGTTGGTATGCCCACCCTCAGAAGTGAAAAGTTTTGAGCCCAAGCTAAACGCCGAAGCCATTGCCTTGGAATTGGACCTAGTCGAAGAACGCCGGGAAAAGGCTCTTATCCATGTGGCCACCTACCAACAGGAGCTTTCAAGGAAATACAACAAAACCGTGCACCCCAGACCGTTCAAAGTGGGTGATTGGGTTTTGCGAAAGGTCATGGGCAATACCTTGGTGCCAGGCGAAGGCAAACTTGGGGCAAATTGGGAAGGACCCTACAAGATAACCGATCTGGCGGGCAAGGGGGCATATCACTTGGAGGACTTGGATAGTAGAGTAATACCCCGGCCATGGAATGCAGCCAACCTCAAGTTGTATTATTTTTAACTTTCGCTCTCTTTTTTTTTTGTGCAAAGGAATTTTTTGCCTCACACTTCATGTAATATTCATTTTTGTCAATATATAGAAGTGGCTCATCTTTGCCTTAGTTTTTTTTGTTGAAAGAGCTGATGTTTTGTTCAACTTAGGTACTCTCAACCGAGATGTTTACTCCGGTTGAAAGAGTTGATGTTTTGTTCAACTTAGGTACTCTCAACCGAGATGTTCACTCCGGTTGAAAGAGTTGATGTTTTATTCAACTTAGATACTCTCAGCCGAGATGTTTACTCCGGTTGAAAGAGTTAATGTTTTGTTCAACTTAGGTACTCTCAACCCATTGAAAGAGTTGATGTTTTGTTCAACTTAGGTACTCTCAACCGAGATGTTCACTTCGGTTGAAAGAGTTGATGTTTTGTTCAACTTAGACACTCTCAAC